ACTGGAGAGAGTAGAGAAGGGGAGGGCTGGAAAAATTCTGCTATAGTTCTGCTTAGAGGCCTCAGCTCTATACTACTGACAAAAAGGGTTCAGTTGTTTTATTTCCCCTACATTAAGCAGTGGTCAGTGATTCTATCAGAAGAATATATTTCAAAGATCGTGCATCCAGTTCTCTCATTTCTGGTTTACTGGATGCTGGCTACACCTTAGGCTACAGAGAGCAACCTGAATGCAGTATTTTTCCCTTTCTTCTAAGAAGTCTCCTGTTTATAACAGAGAATGAGGAAATATCTACTCTAGTTCTCCTTACAGTAGTGAGGAAACTGTTCCTCAGAGTTTTTGCCATGTGGTGAAGTAGCCATAGATCTCATAAAAGGTAAGTCTGCTTTGTTTAACTCTTTGAATCTCTGTTTCACTTCCCTTCAGAAAATTCCCCCCAATTATAGTATAGACTCAGGTTGTTGTAGGTTCAAGGAGAGCCTACAATATTTCTATTAGTAAAATTTTAGTTCATGTTCCTTATGACTTTTCCAGATGATTACTTTCTTTCTTCCATTTGAAGCTGTGGGGTGGTAAAGGTTGATTATGATCGTCTGGAACAGATGGAGGGGGAGGTGGACAAGCAAGGGTACACGTTCAAGGTAGGCACATGGCCTGTGTGCCATTAGGATTCTTTGCAGGGGCTTCCCTCTGAGTTCATTCCAGATGGACAGGCAGATCACAGGGAATGAATACTCTCAAAAAGGAGTTAACAACGTCCCTCACTGGCTTTGTTTTTCTGTACAAAGGCTCTTGGTTTTCATGAGGTGTCTTTTCATCTTCATGAAAGAACTACGCCTTCAGGTCATGGTCCTACTGAGTGAAAATTCTGGCTGAATCTGAAGTTCCTGCTGAAATCAGAAATGATCAAAGCAGGAAAACAAGTGGTGAATCACTGCCTCCAGGATGTGTAGATGTTTGATGTGACAGGACACTCATAGGTTACAAATATCCTGGTCTTTAAAAAATATGTGTGTGATTACAGTTTTGTTCTCTTAGAAAAATCTCATGTTTATAGCATGAAAATCTCTATAATATGCTCGCTTTTATTTGTTTGGATATTACTCGATCCAAATGTACACAGATCAAAATTCTTATAGCTTTCCTCTCATTTTCCATTCCATTTTGCAACTGTTGAATGAGTTTGGAATTCATTAAACAAAATTTTGTGTTGAGAGGGTTATGATACTTTTCTGCATTTCAACAAATATTCCCTTACGTAGATTTCTTTGCTTCTGATACATGCCAATTGAGGTTTGATACATCTCTCAAGTTCACCTCATCTGCGTCACTATTCTCCTCTCTATTCTCCACCCCCTTCATCTGTCTTCTCCCTGAACTATTCACTTCCATCTGTCGTAACCCTAGCTACACGTTAGATGCACCGGGGAAGCTTTTACAACACACCGATGCCTGGGCTCCATTTCCAGGACTTGCCCCTAATCTGACTCGGGTGATATCACGGCATACACGAAATGTTTTCAAAGCCCCGAAGGTGATTCCATGGTGCAGCCGAGGTTGAAAAATCCTCACTGTCTCTATTGATCTGTTGTATTATGATTATTTGTAAAACCTTATTTCTCACTGGAATTTTCGGCACTTTAAATCAGAGATGAGACTATGCCTGATTCACAGGTGAATTCCAATGCCTGTTGAACTTGATCTATGGAACGAATGTACGCTAAGTAGCCTGTGGGGCACCTCAGAAGACCCACAATTCAAGACAGCATCACCTTTTACTCAAAACATCACAAAGTGTTATGAAATTATCGAGTAAAGACAAATCTAACACACCATAACTGTGACCTAGTAACACTACAAGGGAAATCAAAATAAAATATTAGGACACAGAGTCAAATCAACTTGAGAACTCAGGAGGGCATCATGGAGGGGGGTAAAACATTAGGATCAATCGTATAGAATTTTGAATGGGACTGCGTATATAATTTTGACAGAAATAAATGCAAATAGAGTGGAGATGAGAATGGAACCATTTCTAGTAAAAGAGAACAGAGTGAGGAAGAGGGAAGAGGTGGGAAGGTGTGAAGTCCATTAAGGAAACAGTTTTAGAGCCTTTAACGAGCAGCTTTAGGGAGAAGAATGATGGAAGTAGGAAGCCAGCGGGGTGAGTCCACAGAGGCTTTGAAGGCCCAGTGGATGAGACCAGCCTCCACGAAGGTTTCTGAGCAGGAGAGTAATGTACCCAGATATCTGTGCTTTAAACAAGCCAATCTGCCTAATGAATGACCCCGTAGCTTTTAAAATAAGTTTTTATGAGACAGGAAGTACATTATGGGAATACCACAAGCAGATAAGGCCTTTTTCATGCTAAAATCCTTTTCACGATGTGGTCAATATGTTCATCAAACAATAGATCCCTGAGGAATTGGCACATCAGTGACTGTACTCAGGTGACAGTATTTCATTGTCTTAGCAGAGAAAAGATAAATGAAGGTGCAGAAGTCAAATGGCTATGGTAGTTTCCCCTAAAAAAACTGTACTGAAAGACTTTTCGGGGGGATAGCAAAAGAAAAAAGAGAGGTAAAGAAAATTTTCTTTACTTAATGTAATTTTCTGCACTACCACATATATGTGTAAGTGGAACTCACTCATTTCATAGAGTCACATTCACTTCCTCTCCATGATTGCTCTTCACTAGCAAATGCAATGTCTGCGGCTGAGAAAACCTGCAGAAAAACAGCTTGCGCTGTGTGATGTTACTTTAGGCCTACCGCCTTTCCCAAGTCAGCTCTCACTGGGACAGTGGCTGTTCCCAAGGTCACCTGCCTTGAAAGATGTGTTCGTCCCCCACCACAGTACTGGGGAGAGCTCTTTTAAGATCTACACCAAGTTATCTGTTCGACTTTTTAAAAAATTTCATTGCATTTATCAATAAAGCAATAGGATAAATAACACACAAACAACCTAAAGCAAGTCAGTGTTTACAAGTAGCAGACACGTTTCTCTTATTTTAAATTCAGTGCAACAGCTGTGTGTGTTTATATGCATGTGAACATTCCAGTGAGAAGTGAGGGATACTGAAGAATTCAGGTATTCATGAAGGTATTTAAAACAAAATACGTTATTCAGAGTCGAACCACACAACTCGGCGCTTGTCTGCACCAGTAGCACACAGTGAAACCGAATGAAATAATATGGACGGTTCTGTGGCTCGCGGACCAACGCTGTGTGTTCAAGCAGACCTGCGGATGGTTCAGCCCTCTAATTATGTTGTACACTTTAAAATTGGAGTGAGAAAGACTAATAAATTATTCTCAAGGTAGAGATGTCCAGTTCTAGACAAGATGGAGTAAATACAATCTATTTTACTTCTCCTGCTAATCACAAAAATTACTCGAGTGAAAACATCTCAGTCATTTATCAGAAGACTCCGGGAGCAAAGGAGGAGGGTTGGCTGGGAGCCTCAGGAGTTAGGGAATGACAGGGGAGTGAGTTATAGGTTTATTTATTTATTTTTCTGTCCACCACCTATCCCAAGGGTATTAGAGAAGTCCCTAGTGCAGCCCAATGCCACCTAAAAATAGAACCCAAGAAAAAACAAAGGACGAGTAAAAGGGTGGCCGGACACAAAGGGAACTTTTACCCATACCTGTCTATTCTGGGGGGGGGGTGAACATCACAAAAATAGCATTGTCTCTCCCCCTCCACTTGAAGGCTGGCACAGCAGGGGGTCAATGAGAAGCACCATTCCCGGTAGAAACCATGGCAGGAACCTGCATTCCACTCCCATTCCTATTTGACTAAAGAGATGGCATCCTTCCCCCACGGGGTCTATAACCAAACTGACTTCCTTAATTCATGGGGCTTCTCCCCCTGAAGCCCCTGGCTGGAATTCTGCTTTCCTCTCCCTGTTAGAATGATGAAGTGACAAAACTAGTTTCTGCAGCAGAAGGAATGACCTGAAGGAGTTTCTCTGTGGCGTTGGAACAGTTCTTTGTGATGGTTGCTCTCATCCACACCTGTAACACAATTCCACTGAACTATGTACGCTCCTCACCAAAAACAAAAAGCCAAACCCAGAGAAATCAGAACATTATACACCTAATAATAAACGTATTGTGTGGTAAATATGATAAAACTGGGGGGAAAGGAAGGTTCTGGTTTTGCTACTCAGGTAAATTTTCCAGATACTATCAGTAAATCAACCATGATGACAGATACTATTTCCCCCTACCTTTCAAAATTCAGGCTCTTATTCTAAAAAGAGTGACTACTTGGAAATAAGTTACTGTTCACATCAGGGTAACACCCTGATGGTTTACAGAAGTGCAGTCAGAGCTAGAGGATGTTATAAGGTAAACTTAATGAACTACTGATGCAGTGTTTCAAAGTAGTCAGAGAAACAAAAAATTGACAAAGTATATTATAACAACAGTAGTAATACTTCAGGTTTTGTACCATACCTTTTTCCCTAAGGAATTGAATATTTTTCCCTTTTAATCTCATTATTTAACTAATAGTGTTCTGTATGGATGTCTCTTTTTTCAAATGGCACAATTATGTGCCCTGCCTCAGACCACAGCGGAAATCACCCACAATGCGAGAGTCAGAAATCAGGACTCATGATCCGCCTTCGGTGTCTGGCTGTGTAGTTACACGGGACTATGTTTTCAGCTACATCTCTACCTGAACATCATTCCATTGAATGAGCAACAGTGGATCCTAGAAAACAATCTATTTCTTGTAGCTTTGTTTACACAAAAATTTCCTGCCTGCAGAGCACTACTCAATAAGCCACATATTCAAGCGTTTATTCTAATTTAAATTCTGCTCCAGTGTTTTTGTTTTGGGAATCCAGCAACTTTAAGTTACTAAATAGGTTGAGATATAAGAACTATTCATTGTGACGGACCACGCTTCTTTATTCTAAATGGAGAAGAAAGTGTATAAACTTCCCCAAAGGGAAGATAACATCATTCGTGCATCTCGTCGTCACTTACTTTCTCCTTTCTGTTTCAAATCTGTGGAGTAGTTTCCGAAGACCGCCATTCTTAAATCCCTGAAAATGGGCAGCTGGGGCTCCCACGGTGATAACATCGTAGAGAGCATCTGGAACAGGAATGGACAAGGAGATGGACATTTTGCAAACATTTCTCTCCCGCACGCTGTTTGCACAGGAGCATACACACTGTCAGAAGTTTGAGGTGTTATTCTGTTTAATTTTGCAGAAATAACTCTGAACTCGCATCTCAAGGGGGCAAGAGGAGCTAATCCATCTTTCTAAAAGCCACCTGTGCACCTAAACAAGTTATAATATTTCCTTGATTTATGACTACATCTTAATTATATGCTACTGTGTAGAACAGTATGTTCTCTCATTCTTCTGTGTACTTACTGAGATAACATGCTAATTGGCCTTTTGTGTATTTTACTTTATTGAGTTTTGCATCACTTAACTTGCAATCATATTGAAATTCAACAATAATGAATCTTACAAGCTAAATTTACAGAGAAAAGAAGCATTTTGGTTCAAGGCCAGAACACTACTAGTGCATTTTTTAAAAATCTATATAGAGGGGTTCCTGCCTGTGTATACTAAATCTTACTCAATATTAATGCATGCTTCTGCAATTTCCTTAGATGACAGGGAAAGAGTACACAAAATGTCTCTTGATCTATTTTCCAGCAAGATACTTTGTTTTTTTAACAAAATATTCATATATTTAAAATTGAACCTCAATTCTTTGATCTTAAAAGCCACCAAGTTTGATACATATTAAGTTTTGGGCTTCAAAACACACCATCATTTTTATATTCTAATGAAAAATATTCCCATAAGAAGGAAGCCTGAGTGAATTCTTCTTGTTAAACTGCATTTTACTGAGAAACCTAATTTCGTAGTAGATCCTTCTCAGATTGATTTTGGTATTGATACATTGGCTGTTTTTCAGATCTCATTTACAGGGAAAGTGTAAATTATTTTATTAGCTTCATGTAAACACCATGACTTTTCCATAGTGGTTCGAGCACATGCACCTGTGATATTTTTCTTACTAAAAAATGTCTTCAAAATGCAAGGTCACAAAAAACAATACAACCCAAATCAATCCGACAATAAGGCAAATACTGAACAGTCACTAAATAGATTACTGGAGTGGTAATCTTTTGCCTTTTTAAAACATCGCCAATGAAGTAGAAGCCAGGTTATCTCAAAGTAACAGAATATTAGACCTCTAGCCCTGGCTGGTGTAGCTCAGTGGATTGAGTGTGGGCCTGTGAACCAGAGTATTGCAGTTCGATTCCCAGTCAGGGCACGTGCCTGGGCTGCAGGCCAGTTCCCAGCAGGGGAGGCATGAAAGGCAACCATACACTGATGTTTCTCTCCCTCTCTCCTTCCTTTTCCCTCTAAAAATAAATAAATTTTTTTAAATCTTTTAAAAAAAGAATATTAGACTTCTGTGAAATTTAAAGGTTTCTTTTGTCCAGAGAATTTTAACCGAGGCCTAAGAAATGGGTTTCAGATGTCCATTAATATACATAAATTTTATAACTGCCGCTGTTTTACTTCCCAGAAATGGGTCACAGCTTTCTCAGATGGTCATGAGACCACCCCAAAGTTAGCAACTCTGAATTTTAGTCCACCTTCGTGTATCTGCTCAGAAACCCAAGGGCCTTGAGAAGTTACCTGCTTTGGGAGGTAAAGTCCCAAAACTTTAGTCTAAAGTTTTAGACTTTAGTCTAAACTTTAGACTTTGGTCTAAAGTCCCTGAGACTCTATACTCAAGGTCTTCAGACCTCTGCCTCCAGAACGGACAGTCAGTGGTTTTAGTGACTGTCACCTGGTCCTTGGCTCTGGATCCCAGCTCTGCCACCTGGAAGTGCTGTGGCGTTGGGACACTTACTTAACCTCGCCAGGTCGCAGCTGCCTCAGCTAGAAACTGGAGTTGAAACTAGTGAAAAGTGATAAGCATTCAGTATTATTATGAATATTGTTTCTGTATGAAGTCATCCCACCAATTAAGCAAAGGAAGGTGATATCTGAACTTGTGCTTACGTTTCCATAACCTTTCAGTCTGGAAAAGAAAGTGATGCTTAGATCACTCTTCGGAACACAATCAGTTCCCATGTTCATTGGAACTAAATGCAGAAGGGAGAGTCATCATAGTGCTGTAATGAACCATACTGCACTTCTGCTGAAACCCGGGCGACCAGCCATTACCAACTGCACGCGGAACTAACTACAAGCTGCATACACACGTCCCATGAAGCCCAAACAAAAGGCATACCTAACTCAATGGTTAAAAAAAATAAACCGTAGACTCGCTGGACCCAAAAAGTTTCTTGCCTTTCCACCCCACCCAGCAAGAAGGGAGGAGTGAATGTGAGTGGAAAGAGAAAGCATTCTTAATCAATGGAGGTTCACATTTCTTAATTCTGCAAAATTTTCAAACACATGTGACCACACACATGCTGCCAGGGCCCATTGGGAGGTATGGTATGAGGCCAGGCACCGGAAGGGCCCTGAACGTAAGTGTATTAGCTTCACGGTAATCTGTGAGTTTCCGCAATTTCCAAAACTGCTCTCTAGGCACAGCAGCCTTCTCTTCCTCCACCTGCCTCACTCATCGCGGGATCCCAGTGATCTGGGAAGGAGCCAAGAAACTCTGAAGTGACAGGTAAAGCACGAGAAGCAAGCTGTTCAAACACACTCCACTCACAGTAAAGAGCTGTTTATTTATTTTTAAATCTAAATGAAGGAGTGTGTGTTTCTTGAATCCACCTATACTAAAACACTTCCAACGTTATGAACAAGCTCTTTCCTATCCAAAGTTTTGACTTTTACTTATTTCCATTCTACGTTCTATTCATGAACTCATCCCTTTGAAGGTTTTAACACTACATTTGTACTAAAGCCTATAAAATCTCCATTTCTGGCTACTTGTGACCTCTTCACTCTTAGATAATCCAATGGCTGACTGCTTTATGCACACCTCTGAACGTCAGCCAGCTATTAGGTTTAACTTGTTCTAACTCTTCCAACCTGCCTTTCCTCCCTGGTTTCCTGAGACCAGTACAGAGGTCACATTCCCTTCAGCCTTCCAGATCAAAATTCTCGAGATCTCAAGATCATTTTAAATTACTTTCTTTCCCTTAACGTTTTATCTGATGTGTTCCAACAACTCTGCTCCCCAGACTGTGTTCTCTCTTATCACTGTAAACTCTCTTTACTGTAATTCTAACCTTCCTCACTTCATGTCGGGTCACTACTGCCTCTTCCATGTCGGCTTCCCTGCCTCCACAGTGTGGACGGCTTCTCCCATGGGGTCCGGCACTCAGTCTCTCTCATATACGTCACAGATTAGAAGGACATTCAAATGTCTCAACATCACGCATACTATAGGTACTCATTAATTATGAACAAACAAATAAATAAATAGTTGAGGCTAAATTCAGTTTGTCTAATTTGTCTTTAGATTATTTAGGGAATTACTATTCTTCACTGAAGAATAAAAAGTTTAAGCTCACTATCTAGAAAAAGCAGTACTGGAATCTGGAATATACACATCTCGACGGGAATAAGACAATCATAAATCCCTCCATGAAATATATTCAGTAAAAGAACAAGGAGAGCTTATGATTACCTACATGCAAACAATTCAAATTAGACCCTTCATGCACAAAAATCAACCCGAAACAAATTAGAGCCTTCAACCAAAGACCTAAAACTGTAAAACTCCTAGAAAAAATAGAGGGAAAATGTTTCAGAATATTGGTCTTAACAATGATTTCGCAGATATCACACTAAAAGCACAAGTAGCAGAAGAAAAAAGGGAACTGGGACTATATCAAACTGAAAAGCTTCTGATAAGGAAAGAAGAATATAAAAAAGCAACATACAAAATAGGAGAAAATACTGCAAACCATATATCTGATAAGTGGTTCTGTTCCGAAATATATAAGGTACTCCTACAACTGAATAACAAGACTCCAGTAAATCTTAATATTTTGCAATTGTTATTTGCTGGTTAGCAGTTATCTATGTCACTGCACCAAGCTATCTGTTTTGGCCCCTTCACCACTGAATTTCACTTGCTATTAACTATTATGAAAACAGTAGGTAGTTCTTTGTGCACCATGGCATTTATTTCCAGGTTTCTTAGTTAATGAAGAATGATATATGAAGTACTATGTTTGTTCTTGGCTGGAGCAGACATGCTCCTTTAAATTTAGTTAGAATTAACATCCATTGACGTTTCTCTGCTAACATCCATTAGCAGAGAGCAAACACATAAAAAATCATCCATAAGAAACAAAATTCTATGATAATCTGATTAGTAATATTTGTCTCATTTACAAAACTTCTCCATTTTATCCCACTCTTTAAATTAGGCATCTTTGTAATATGAATAGTCCTTAACTGGGTATAATAAAAGCTTTCTGACTTTGGGTACTAAAAAACAATTTTAAAAATCTAGGTGGGCATGTAATTTTACAGGAAATTTAAGCAAAAAATGTTAAAGGTCCTTTTTTCCCTCTCATATAAAATATAACCTGTGCATCTTCTTTCTTTTATATTTTATACCTCAAAAATTGCCCTTGGCTTTGTGAAAATGGCATAGTGTGCATTATAATAGGGAAGAAAAATTCAAGTTGAGTCTCATCAAGCTAAAGATACTAAGTTGATTTGAAATTTAATAACAGGACTGCCTCATAGCCTTTTAAAATCCATTTAATAATAGAAATGAGATAATAAGTCTATTTTTCCCAGAAGATCTCTTTAAAATTCCTACAACTATAAAAATAGTGCTAATAAAAAAAAGTAGACACACTGATCTCATTTCAAAGAACAATTTAAGAATAATCCCTGACTCCAGAATGGCTCACAAAATGACTTTGACATGAATCACAAGACCACAGGGATTTTTAAGGGAAATCTGTTTCAAAATAGTCCAAGAAATGTGGCATCCTTATGAAACACATCTACAGGTAATTATGCTTCACTGATGAGGCGATACACCCAAACCTCAAAATGCGCAAGCGAGGGAGCTCCAAACAGCTCCTGTCATTCATCACCACCACCACCCCACCCCCATCAATGCAGGGATTAGAAGTCTAAGAGCCAGAGGGGCCGCTGCCTCTCCCACAGTCACACTGGCAGTTCTGGTGATGTCCTGCCCAATTCCAACTACAGCTTTGGGATGTCATTTAGTAGGTTCTTCCTTTTTCTTCTTTTCTTCCTTTTTTATTTCTTTGCTATGTACTATAATATGCTATTATTTATCTTTAATACATAATATAATTTAAATATATAATAATATCACAAGAGTCCATATTTTATACTATTCACACCTGCTTTTCCAAGAAAATAAAATTTACTGCCCTGCTGTTACTCAGTGGATAGAAAGCAACATAATTATACTCTCCCCCCCCCCCTTCCCCTCTAAAGATAAATAAATAAAATTAAAAAAAAAAAAGAAAATAAAATTTACTGAGGCATATTGGAGAAAGAAATTTTTTTTCAATTTCAGGATTTTGTTTTTGTTATTGTTGTCATTGCTGTATACAATCTCTATTGTAGTAGGTATTCTGTTTGTTGCATTTAATTTAAGTAATGAATAAGGATGGAAAATTAACTTCATGGGTCTGGGGGCACCCAAAGTTAAATGGAGGCTATTTCATTTGTCACTATGAGACATGGCAACATTAGTTCTGCTCAGTTACTTGTATTAAGAGCTAGACATTAGTCTCGTATTTGGTAAATCTGCCTGCTACTGTTTATAAAGCTGCCTCTCCAAATAGAGCAGGCACACTAATCAAAGGTGAGTAGATGTAGTTTACTAATGGTAATAATGAAAATAAATGTAGGCTATATCCAAATAACTCACCAGTAAAATACCTGGGCTTGGCCAATCTTACTTGCATCATTACCTTGTAAAATGTTGTCTGTAATTCAGCTAAACATTTAAAGCAGTAACAGTGGACCTTAAATAGATTTAACTGCAATTCAAAATCTGCTAAATGTATATTATATAAGCAAGCAGAAAACTTGATTGACCACCATCTACAACTTTAAAGTGTTTTATTTTGCAAATAAGTAAAGCAAAGCTCAAGGGGGTTATTCAGTTGGTGTAAGACAAAGAAGTAAGTGGTAAGGCCCTAGGAATTCAGTCATTTTCAATATCTACTCTAACATATAGTGATGATTTGGTCTATAGAGCACCTACTTTATCTGAATTCCAACTGCAAATAACTTTTAAACTTACTATAAAACTACAAAAAAATTTTAAGACACATACATTATTTAATGTTATACATATTACATACATGCAATATATACATAATATATTCTAATTATAGTATGCAATAGAATTCAACGCCTTCACATTAATTCTTGGCTGTTAAGGTATCTCATCTTTTCCCATGTTTTCTCTTTAGGACTTCAAAGGGAAGAGTCGGTCTTTCTGAAAACTACTATGTCAAAAATCCTCTAGTCTGTGAGCTGTACCTTAGTTCTTGCTTTCTTCCCTACTGCTTGATTTTTTAATCACAAATAAAAAGTCCTTCATATATCCTGTTACAGGTTAAATTGCATCCCCAAAGAAAGACATCTTAGAACCTGACCTTATTTGGAAATAGGGTCTTCACAGATGAAATGAAGTTAAAATGCAGCTGTTAGGGTGAGTCCTACTCTAATGTAACTGGTGTCCTCTCAGGGGGAATTTGGACACAGGGACAGACACACACAGAGATGATATGAAGACACACAGGGAAACACCATGTGAAGACGGAGGATCAGTGCGATGCATCAAAAAATCAAAGAAAACCAAAGATTGCCAGGGGGAAAAAAACAAGAAAGAAAGCAAGCAAGAAAAAAAAGGAGCTCGGATGAGGCAAGAAAGATTGGCCTACATGTTCCAGAGGGAGCTGTGTTCTGCAGACGCCTTGATTTCTGACTTCTGACTTCAAGGACATGAACCGACCCTTTTCTGTTGTTTAAGCCACCCTACCGATGGGGCTGTGTTACGGCGGCCCTAGCAAACTGGCACACATTCCAGACCAGACTAACCAGAACAAACGCCATTTGTCTTTCTAAACTTCTTTTCTTTTAGTTTCCGGTTTCCTTCCAGGTTGGAAAAACAGAAACTAAAGGCATTGTATTTATGCCTTGGCTCATGCCAGTCTATTTTCCAGATAGTCTCTTATGGGGGAAAAAGCATCATGTAAAAGGTTCTGTCATTTTCAAGAAATAAATATGATGGAAAAGTTCACTTAGATAAAATAATAATTTTTTGGTGGAAGTGTTTTAAGCATCACCACCAAACATTTGAATGCGTATTTAAAAATCAGTCCCCATCGATTCGGCCCCGACAAACCATTTGGTGTGACGATACTTCATCATCCATCCATGGCAGTCACCCCAGGCCATCCCTTCCTTCCTTGTCTTCTTTCTATCAGTCGCTAGGGACTTGCATGTGATAATTCTTCCCAAATGCCTCTCTAAATCATCTTGCCTCCGATTCTGGCTACTTGCTTAGATTTCATTGCCTCTTAACTGATCATTTTAACAGCCATGATAAAACCAATAGATCTATTTTCTTCCAGTGGGAGCAGCAGCCACGAGTCACAGACCCTCTGACTGTTCATTCTAGGTGTGTCACGTGCCCCAGGTCACCAAACCACACAGAGGACAATGAAGATTAGAAAGATTAACTAACGGGCTTAAGGTCCTATATAAAACCTGGTGAAGCTGCAATTCTATTCCATTTCACTCCAAAATATATGTCTTTTACAGTATCATAAAAGTCTCTTCCTACTGGCCATTAGAAAAAAATTATGTTGGTGGTCAGATAGCTTTTAAGTCCTTTAGCTTCTTTATTACTTGTTGATACTCTGGTTTTGATGATTTCCTTAAAAAAAAAAAACCATTGCATGTTATGTTCAAACTACTGACTCAGTAATCAAAAGTTCCTATAAATCCTTTGGGCAAACCCATCTAACTTTTATTAGTTCTTTCATTTTACCAGTTCTTTCATTTCACATTAATTCCTGGTTAGAAGGACTTAAGTTAAAATTTCAGATGGTTAGTAAGTGTTATCAAAGGTAATAAAATCATATATCAGAATGGTGCTTATAACTATACTGGAACTGGCATAGTAGCTGGTTGTACATATAGAATCAGTATTCCTAAGTTTAGAAAAATGTTTAATTTTTCTCATTATAAAACTTCAGATGATTCTAAAGCAGAATAGAGATTTCATTTTAACGTTTTAAAACTTCTAACCTATATATTGTGAGAATACCTGCACAATAGAATTCTGGAGGTAGAATTCAGCTCCAGATGGATCTGTGTGTGTTTGTTTACATGTGTGACACACTTATTATGGATGATTTGATGACCTGAAGCAACTTCAGGGTCCCTAGGGAGATGGGTACTAGCATTTATCATTCAAACAGAGAGACTTAGGGAGGGAAGGAGGCAGAGGGCTGGAACAACAGGCATAATATGGGACTTTGCTAAATAGGGGCAGATAGTCACCCCAAATATACATAAAACTGATATAGCAGTAAGTTAAAGAAAATGTGAGGTGAGAAGAATATTATAAAATATATATTGTTGACAAATGGTAAGGAATCATGTAGAATGGCAATGAATACAATGCCTTATTGTTCACTCTGAATACTATTCAGGTGTATATATATGAAAGCCTATACATTTTTCCTTGGGAAGTGTTTCTTGCAGCTGAGTACATCAGGATACTTGATGACCTTCTATCTAACAAACTGCCTTCTCACAGGGGAGGCAGTGATTCCGGGGAGAGGCCCACTGAGACCGAGAGACCTCAAGTGAGCCCAGGCTTGGGCTTTGGTTTCTCAACACAGGAATACTGTGAACAAGTCTTGTTTTTCCTTTTTTTTCTAATTCAGACAACAGCCCAATTGCTAGCTATTAGCCATCCCAGATATGACTTAAGGAAGTTAATATTTATTTTGCATATTCACCTGTAAATCAACTGAGATGAAGCACAAGCAACACATTGCTCAGAAACACAACCAAATGATAATAGCCCCTTTTGTAGTATTCGGGGCTGTTATCAGCTTCAATGGTCTTATCTTCATCTTTACATATTCAAATTGCAAATTCTGCCAATAGTAGAGATTTTAAAGAAACACAGTAATATGCTTTGCCCATTTTGAAAAAAAAATACTATATATTACCTTTCAGCTGAGGGCTGTGTACGTGCATTCTCTGCAGATGTAGATTTATTGGAACAAATTCTAATGTTTTCTCTCCTTTGCTGCTGCTTGATTTGAAAGAGGACCCTAGGTGGGAAAAAGTACAATAGTATCAGTAAATAAATAATAAGTGTGTGTGTGTACACATGCTAAAAAGAAAAGTCAGCATAGAAAACTGTTACAAAAGCTTCTGAAAGAAAAATGTAGTTGTATAATTTGCTTTTCTTCTCAGAAATTTAAGTTTTTAACTCTTACTTATGCTTATAATAACACCACGAGTGCTTTTTTTTTTGTTATTTTTCATCCCAAGATAAAAGCATTAGAAATAAATGGTGCTTTTTAAAAAATCTTGGCCCTTTTATGTTCATAACAATGTTTATTATTGTTTTCACATAATCTACCCTCATACATGAAGTGTAACTCAGGTTGAAAATGTAAGTTCTTGCTTCCACACCTGTTTCCTTGCTGAGCTCAGTCAGAATGTCTTGGTACATATTCACCATTTGATCACAGTGAGTAAGGACATTTTTCCGTAGATTGTCCCAGTGCGGAGAAAGTTCACCAAGTTCTTTCAGTTCTTGGTTTCTGTTAAGAATGGAAAAGAGGACAAAACATTTATTTTGCTCCCAAATTCACAGATACAAAGTGCTTAATCAGGGTTGACAAACTCATCAGAAACTGATTCACCGTCCCTTTTGGAAAAGCTCTTTGTGGTTTTAGTGGGGAAGTAATCATTTTAACCCAGAGAAAGCTATAAATAATTTAGACCATGAAAGCATAAAAAATTCTGTATGTAAAAGAAAAATACAGGTCAAATTCACAGATATAAATTTCACAAAGATGGCAAAGACTTCTGTAATGTACATAGAGGCCACTCAGCTAAAAACAAACACTGAATCTCAACAGAAAAACGGCTAAATTCTAGGCTTCAACAATCCAAAATAAAGTAATGGGGGAAGGATTATTGAACTATGTCTGAAGGAAACACAAGTTATTCAGGTAATCTAGTTTATATACAATAGAACTGTCATTTTTCAAATCCTCAACAGAGGATATGTTTTTATCGATTTTAGAGAGAAAGAATGTGAAAGAGAGAGAGAGAGAGAGAGAAACATCCATGTAAGAGAGAAATATTGATTGGTGGTCTCCCATGTGTGTCCTGACCGGGGATCAAATCCACAATATTTTGGTGTATGGGATGGTGCTCCAACCAACTAAGCCACCTGGCCAGGGCTAGATGCAATTTTTTAAAAGCTCATAAACGCTATGATCAGGTATGATTCTATTGCCCTCAGTTTCTTTCAAGAGATCAATTTAAGTAAATACTGCATAAGTTTTGTCCCTTCTTTATCAAAAGGGAAAGCTAATCATGCCATTTAGGTTTTAATTATTAATTTTATCTAGTTCTCTATCCTTTATCCAAGTTAACTTAAATAATCAGAATGCCTTTTTAACTTATAATGATAAATGGTTTTAATATGCTGCTTTGTTAGATCTCTTATTCATTTCTGTAACCTTTTACCAACAACATTTTCATGAGGCTAATTTAACCATCAATGATGAAACTTCTTTGCTGTTTTGGCTGTGAAATATGTTAAATACCAAGCTAATAAATTCAGAAGATGTAGAATCTTTAACATCCTGTTAAATGTAAGAGTAATGGATGGTGTGCAAAATTGTGACTTGGCTTCAAAGGTTCGTAGCTGCCTTTGTTGTGTTTCAATAGGGATGTGGTGTAGTTTTGCTATAACTTTCATCTGAGCTCTTTACAATTTTTGTGAACAATAATTTTATTCTCAACTGTCCCGAAGATTACCTTTCACCTCACAACATTCATGGGAGAAGAAGTAATTAATCAACAGACAGTGAAAGCAAAAGAAATTCACCACCAAAGAGTGGGTAGGAGGGAAGATTGAAAAACTGGGAAGTCAAGTCCTTGGTTGGCACTCAAATGACAGCCTATTTGAATTCAAGACAAAGCAACAACAACAACCAAAGCAAACAAATAATTCCGAAAGCTTCAGATACCCAAGTCTAGAAGTAACTGGGCAATTAGGTTAAACCTGAGGCGGACAGCGTGTATGATGTGCTGATTTGATATGTCAGGTTTCAGGCTGCAGTTCTGATAGATACTTATGACAGAAATATCAGGTATTCCCACTTAATCCTAACAGATGCACCAACAGATGATTAATACTAATAGGTTTATCATTTGTTTTCTCTGAATCCTTATCAGAAATAGTAATTAGGCCGTGGCTGGTGTAGCTCAGTGGATTGAGCGTGGGCTTGCAAACCAAAGGATATGGGTTCAATTCCCAGTCAGGGCACATGCCTGGGTTGCAGGCCAGTTCCCAGCAGGGGACGCACGAGAGGCAACCATACATTGATATTTCTCTCCCTCTCTCCTTCCCTTCCCCTCTAAAGATAAATAAATAAAATCTTTTAAAAAGAATAGAAATTAGATGAAAATATCTAAAAAAAAGAAATAGTAATGAAAGGGGAGGTGGTGAAAGATAAAGAGAGGGTGACGGTGAAGGCCCTTCCTACAGTGTGGGACCCTGGCTTGGTGACAACTCCTTACTTAAGAAAGACCTGGCAAAGTGTGGTCTGAGCATTTAGTGATCTGTGGGGAATGACTTGTGATATACTGGAATTAGTCCATAAGCTTTTTGTTTAAATTTTATCATACCCTTCCAATATGTCAAAATATATACACAGGAACACAGAGAGAAATCTGATGCTCACTGTTTAGTTGTTCTAGAAAATGACATTGAAAAGGTATACATTCTGAAAAAGACAAATAACCAACATAAGGTGTCTCTGCATTAAAAATAGTTCAACTATTGGGGAGTAAATGTATAATAAACAGAGTCAAGTAACGAGATGTTGTAAACCAAAGTGGGGCAGAGTAAGAAAGTAGCTCTAAGTTTAAAAAAGGAAAGAAACTCATTACATTAATACACTGAGACAGATAAAGAGAGAAGAGAATCCGGTGCGCCAGAAGCAGAACACTTCTCAACCAGGAAGCCCAGGGCTGTTTATATCATGTTTTGATTTGTTACTCGGTGAACAAAAACTTTGCAGTTGAAGGGCTGTGCTTTATATCTCAATCTCAGGAAGGCAGAGCCTGAGATCCAGCAATCCCAGGTGAGCCTTAGGGAGGTAAGAAGAGAAGCGTTGCAGGAAAAAAGGAAGCAGACATAGGTGGTATGTTCCTGAGCCGGGCAGAGCTTCACAGGGAAGCGCGGCTGGTTGCTAGGGCCTGTGGAACAACTTCAGGTAAGTCGTATGGAGCCTTTGCACATTGGAGCAGCTTGTTAGATGGAAGAGGAGACATGTATATGCCACTTCCTCACCGTCTTCTATGTTTCACTGGTAACAATTCAGCCTATGGGGACATTTATGCCTTTGCACTCAGTTACAAAATCTGTGTCCTTTGGATAGCTGCTGGGGAAGCAGTGTCAGTGGGGACAGAACTCTCCAGGGTCTGGCCTGATAAAACACAGGGCCAGAGTCACTCTGGCTCTTTCCATGGTAGATGCCATCGGAGGCATGCTGATGCCTGGTCTTAATCTTCAGAGACAGACACAACTGATGATGTCAGGAAATCAAGTGACAATACATGGGGCTCTCCATTGAATAAGTGGTTGGACGGTACAGGCATGTGAGGGTTAAGCCAGTATAGAAAAGCACATAAAAATAAAATGGCTTAAACTACCAAAATAGAACTTAGTAAATGTAGGAGAAAGTTTAGCGTCTCTTTAAAGCTTCTATTTAAAATATAGTTTAAAAGCCCACAGATGATGGATTCAAGAGGGGAAGTCCAACATGGGGAAAATTTGCTCTGAGCCTGGGAGCGGCAGAGACTTATGTTATTCATACTTTTTGTCCTGTCACTTATCCCCTAGGTAGAATGGACACACACAACCTAGAAATGAGCCATTGCTGAGCCCTTTTGACCTTGTATGATCTAAGTCTGTAACCCTGGATTGGTCAAGTCTTCCTTAGGAATAAAGAAAGCTTTGAAAATGCATCTTCACATGGAATTACTTACTGGGATGGTTAATTTCACGTGTCAACTTGACTGGACCACAAGGTGGGTGGCTTCAATTTCATGAAGTGGTTGGGTGGCACCATAAAACTGATGGAAGCTCAACTCCACGTCAGGTGTCAGAGCAGTTTCAACCCACAATTCAAACTGCCTGTCCTTTAACCCACATGGAAATAAAAACTGCATCCATAAATCAGAGCCTTTTTAAAAAATGCCTTTTTGTAAATGACTGTGGGGTTAGCATTGCAATCCATGAGCCACTATTTCACTGAGAAGTGACTGGAGCGGTCATTCACTCTGATTTTCACTTGACATTTGAGTAAGTGGATGTCGTACCACGCAAGTGGCTGCCGGACGCTCAAGGAGGTTCCAAGTTACGTGCACAGAGTAAGCAGTGGGGCCCAGTGACGACAGGACTTACTGTGATCCCAGGATCTCTTTGTATTTGGTAAAGAGCTAAACTCAGTAATTCCATTTCAGGTGACTACATTAGAAAAACATGAGGAATAATAAGGATGTCTCACTCCACCCTAAGAGTCTATTTGTTCTCCATGATAAAGGTGATTTGGTATTTCATTATAAATAACATCTTATTTAACCTTCCAAATTTGTTTTAACATTATAAAATGTGGACGACGTCTATTTTTTAATACCATGAAGCTCAGTGTTCCCCTTATATCAAAAATGATGGCATATTATAAGAAGTTTCTCCTAAATCCACATACATTTAAATTAACTACATGCCTTTTTATTGTGGGCAGCCATGGATGTTACCCACAGCACCTGGAAGGCTGGTAAAAGGAGTTAAGGAGCTAGAACACGCATCCCCCTTTTTGTTACTCCTGTCCTTACTTTTAGAAATTGTAAACATTTCTGGGCAGTTCACCTTCCAACTCCCACCCCTGACTCTGGAGTGCAGATGTGACCCAGGGAAGTTCCATAAGCAGATGCAATTCAGGAGGCCCAACAAAATGCCTGGCGGTGGTGATTTTTAGTGGCCACATCAAGATTTTCCTGATAATCAAGATTACTTTTATATAGGATGTATGTCTTTATTTATCTTTAAAACAATCCACAGACATCATTCTATAGAGCTGGACTAAGCCAAATTAAAAATTCAGTTGCACCCGGCACATTTCAAGCACTCAACAGCCACACAGCTCTCACACTAGACCGTGCAGTTTAGATATTTCCATCATGAAAACTTGTATTCAGCAACCTTGCTCTGGACAAGAGAGGAACACAGCTGAGAAGTGGAGTGACTTGTTCAATGCCATACTGCTAGTAAGTGGCAGAAGCAAGACATACACTCAGGTCCTGTGATTGCAAATCTTGTTCTCTTTGTTATTTTAATTCCTGCTGACTATGGCTTCTTCTAAGATAGAATCTCTAAAAAAGAGGACAAGGCTGGAACCTTCCACTTGAGGCACTCATCTGAACGTACCTTCCACCCAGGTCAATCTGGAGCTGGGGCAAATACTTGGCTCAAGTGTGCACTTATAGACAGCCTTGGCTACCGTAACTGCCGAAAGTT